AACTATTACTAATAAAATATATAATATAACTAATACATATATAAAATATATAATAAATAGTATATATGCTATATATATAATAAATAATAAAAGTAGCTCAAAAACTATATATAATAAATATATTATATGTAATGAATCTCTTGTAGTAATTACTTAGCTAATCAGATCATATAGATAATTATAAAAAGCTAGAACTTGAGTATCTTGAGATTTAGAATTAGATTTTAATTATTTTTGGCTCATTAGATTTGTCTTGGTAAGCTAATTCTAATAGTATATATATTATCTAATTTAGACTAGTTAATCAAAGTTATTAAAGTTTTTGTATTTTTTTTCTTAATATTTTATAGGTTAATAACATATTCTAAAGGAGCTATTGCTATTGACCTATTCATTAAATATAACTTCAAATTCAGAATTATATCTATATACTTGTTAATATCTAACAAATTATACAAAGATTCTGCTTAGAAAAAAGTAATACAATAGACTCAACAAGTTTTTAGCTTAAACCTTCTTTCTATTATCTTAGGAGATTTTAATATCTTTATAATTTTTATATCTAATATAACAAATTGAAATTTAAAATTTTAGCAAGATTTTAGTAAGTTATCAGTAGAATATCAGATATTTTTTTGGCTAATAGCTACTAGATACTTGGTATATATTACTTACTTATTAGATAAATATTGCTTTTAATAGGCCTATCAGATATCAGATATTTCTATTATAAAATATCAAATATCTGATATTTTATGATAAAAATATTTGATATCTAATAGGCCTATCAAAAGCAATATCTATCTGATAGATAGTTAATATGCTAAGTATCTAGTAGCTATTAGCCAAAAAATATCTGATATTCTACTAATAGCTTACTGAAATCTTGCTAAAATTTTAAATTTCAATCTGTATATCTGTATATCTTATTCAAAACTTATTTATTTTCTTATTTACATAGCATTAATATGTATAACTTAGCAAATCACATAGCTAACTAACAAAATACTTGATAAAATAGTAGATATAATAGTAAAATTAATTATATTTAGGTTTATTATTTAACTATATAATTCTTAATAAACTTCTTTTATGAAGATTCCTTTGTTATAACTAATAATAATTATAAAATTTTAGTTTCTAAATGATTTTTTCCTTTTACCTTTTTTGGCAAATTTAGAAACAAAACTAATACCAACAAAGAATCTTTAACTATAAAGGAATGACTACAGAGCTCTAGTAAGAATTTTCTGACCCTCACGTGTCTCTGGAGTTACTTTTACATCTCACAAAAGTATTAGAGTTTATACATGTTGTAATTAAAAACAGTAGTAGTATCTATATATGTATTATATCAGCGGATTTGCGGAATTGGTCCTAAATTGTATCCTCAAAGTTATCCGCAAACAAATATACTTACATAAAGATAATTTAAGGAGTAAATAGATACAATAACACGTAATATAAATTTTATACAACGTGTTATTGTATCTATTTACTCCTTAAATTATCTTTTCAATTCAAGACCAATTCCGCAAATCCGCTGATATGCAAAAGTTTCTTTTTAAAAAAAACAGGACCAAAAGAAAATTTTTTAAAATTTAAAAATAAAAATAATCTAGTTTTTTTTATTTATACTAAATTAGAATTACACTAAAAACGCCCATTAAAAATTAAATCGTAGGGCAATTCTTCCAAGTTAAAATGACTTGTTATGTGATAGAATTATCACAAATTTAAGAATGCAAATTTTGGCTATGGCAAATACCCGTACGTATTGTATATGACTTTTCTAATATAGTAATGTATTTGGTTTAGATTTCTGAACAATTAAGTAGATACCTACAATTAAAGAAATCATAATATCAATTATCAAGTATCCTATGATGGGGCTTGTCAAATAAACTCGGTTATTTCTAAAGCGGAGTAGATTGATAAAATTATTATTATTAACTTAGGGTTAGGGTTAGGCCTGGGCAGGAATACAGTAAAATTACCTTCCCGACATTTTTTTTTATTAGTGCATCAAGACAGGTTTAGAAAGCCATTTTTTTTGCGTTTATTATTATTATTATTTTGCTTAGTCTGGCTGATCCAGGTCGTGATTTGATTGGTTAATTCGCGTAATTCATACTCTGCTTTAGACGACTCCGTTATTTGGCAAGCCCTATCCATAGTTGCTTGGCGAAACTATGTGATGCTAATCATCACACAGCCTCATGTTAATAATATTAATGCTATGAACATGTGAATTCACATGTTACTATTCATGACTGTGTGATGAGTAGCATAGTCAAGAAACTATGGCCCTATCATAGTAGGAGGATACCAGATAAGTTTAAAATAACAAATTATAGTATTAATCTTTGAGATATCTAGTTCTCAATTTGACAAATAATAGTTACTTATTAATAATATACTTTATCCAATTATAACATAAATCAGAATTTTAATAAATTGTACATTTAATTACAACACCTCATTATGATAGTTTACTTGATTTTCAAACTTGACAATTTTTTGAATATACTAATCTGATAATAAAGAATGCTGCGGAGGTTTAATGTTACAAGCTTTAAGTGCGGCCAATAGTCGATATTCTGCTTTTCGTACCTACAAAAATAGCAAAAGCTTTTAGATATAAGAATTTAATCTATTTTATTAAATAATAAAAATATATATGCATACAATACTAGCAATCTTATTATCACCTTCTTCCGTAATTATTCGTTTTGTAAATATTGTAACCATTCCATTTAAGTTGCCTAACACGACGTCAGTCAGTAAACGGTCCCCAATTACCACTATTTTTTCGGGAGGATAACGTGCAAAGTGAGAAATAAGTTCGGGTCCTCCATTTGGTTTCTAAATTATTTTTGGAATCAATTTTTTTTTTTTTGTTGCATTATGAATAAGTTTAAAATATTAAAAAGAAAAACCTTTGATTTATGTCTCAATACTGGTACACCTAAAGTATTTTCTATTTTTTTGGCCTATAATAGATAAATGTTATAATTATAAAATACATATATAAATAACGATAAATATACCTGTTTAAAGTCTGAATCATCTGCTGTTCCGGCAGAATTTGATATAATAATCATGTTTTCATTTCCAAAATGTTTTTTGCATTCTTGCCATGCATTCTTTTTTTTTTTAAAAAAAAAAAACCAGAATTATAACAGATAATATAATATTTTTACAAAAACCAAAATAGCTATTATAAAAAGACAACCTTAAATGGTGGATATATTTCATCTGCATATGGAATTGTAAGGGTATTATCTTTGTCAAATGCAAGTGCTTTAATACCTTTCCCCTTTAATTGTTCGAATTTTATGTCACGAATATCTTAAATACAATAATTAATGAAAATTTATAGTTTTCTTAATTTAAAATCCTATTAGTATATAAATACCATCAACTATAATATGTGGAACAGCCAGTTGTGGATTTCTTAATACATTAAAGATACCAAAAATCCCACTAAAATTTAAGCTTTGAACCATTTTGACAGATACAATATTTTCACATCATGCATCATTCAAAATCGTCAAACACGTGTACAAAGCAAATTAACCAATCGTATCGGTTTAGTTTGCGGTCACATAAAATCGCCTTCCTCTTTTAGGTAAAGATAATATTTTTGTGACTTTTTAAAAATTTGAAAATTTTTAATTTTTTTAATAAATAATATTTGTAAACTTTGTAAGAACCGAAAATTAACTTGCATGTTTTCTTAACAGTTAAGTTGAAATGATTGTTTATATTCAGAATATCTGTGATTAATTAAAGTTTTTATATTTGAAAGCTACAATTCGTAGGACAACTTTATCCAAGAATTACAGCGAATTTACTTACCGTTACTACTTTTTTTTATCCAAGCATCAGTATTGTACGTTTTGGCTGTCAATAGTTTTAAATATTTTAGTAATCGAAATAGAAATTATATGATTGTATTCTAAATATTTTTGCTTAAAATGGTTAAATAGGTTGTTTTAATAAAATTTTGAGTAAATACATGTCCAAAACCATGTTCAAAGGTTGTTCCAACGAAAACACTGCCAAGAATTAAGGGCTTTAAAAATCAATGTGCACGTCACTCTTGATATAACGTAGTACCTCGGGCATATAATGAGGAATTTTTTAAAATCGCTTTATTGTGAGTTTTATTAATAAATCCATTATACTGTATCAAGTAGTATTTATTATTATGTGAATTTGAATCTTGATCCATTATATCAAGATTTTACTTAGTCTCCGTTGTATCAAGAGTCCATTATATTGAGAGTGACGTGTATTCGAATAACCGATTTTAATAGTCGAATTCTTCATTTCTGCCCTAGACTTTTTTTGAAGGGTTATTTTCGTCAATTACAGGCAATCTGAAAACCTGAGGTTTTTTTATATGAACATGATAACCCTGATAGAAATTTAAAATTATTGATGAAAAAGATAATTCTGAAGTCTTGATGAATGGTCAACAACATCCTTTTACTGTAGTAATGTAGATAGTAAGTGGTGTAGCAAAAATTGGATTGCTCAGAACTCGATAAAAGATGGAAATTGTTTTTGAAGAAACAAAAAACAATAATATAGTGCATTTATTTGAATAGAAAGAATATTACAATGCTATTCTCAATTTGCATGTAAGACATTAAAGTCATTTAAATATATCAAAAGTTTGTATGTGTTATATTAATTTGACAATAAATTGATTATAATTCATTTTTTATATGTAGATTCTAGTAGGTAAAAAAAAATTTCTTTTAATTACTATAAAATTTTCTTAAATTATTCTATAATAAAATAATATAAAAAAATGAATAAATAGTAATAATGAACTTAAAGATTATTCTAAATTTAAATACAAAGTTTAATAATAGAAATAATCAATAAAATTACTTCATATACAGTAAGATTTATTATGTTTTACTGTATTTAAATCTTACTTTTCACTTAATGAGTATCAATATTATTTTATAAGAATTAAATTCTAAGATATAAACTTAAGATGACTAAGCATTAGTTATTTAACATTCTTACAGATAATTATACTAATTTACATATATCACCAGCTGGTACACTAACTTTTCTTCTAAACCAGAATTAACACATTAATAGTAGAATTTTATAACAAAATTTATTAGAGTACATCTACACATAACAAGAATTAACTGTATTTACATAGCATTTGACAAGAGGTTACATAAATAAAAATAAACATGAATTTTTTTTAATTATAATTCAGTATTAAAAATTTGACCTTTATTTAAAGTCTAATGTCGTAAAATGTAAATCGATTACATTACAAATATTATTAATTTGTCTTTATCTAGATCCAATCGTAATTATAAATTAAAAAAAAAGGATCTTTTTATATAAAAATTATTAAGGGAAAGAAAAATTTGAAAGAAATTTGACAAATTAAAAAAAAAAAATTACTCCTTATCGTTATATAAAATATAAATTCATATTAAATAAAATAACTTTGTTTTTTTTTTTTTTTTTTTTTCTCACTAAAATTATTAATCACTCTAATCACCAATACATCCTTAATTGGATGTATACACAATATCAGATATGTAAAGAAATTTAAAATTTTCGACTTTGATCTTTAACCAGTCGTTTAATTGAACCATTATCCATGCATCTCAGTATCCGATGTGATAATTCAAAACATCAGACTTTCTTTGTAGAATAATTATTATAATTAGTATGATTTGTACTATAAGACGGTGGGATCAAACTAATTAATGGAACTGAATGTCCATTCATTGGAGGAACATGAGAACTACGTCTAGATCTACGAGAATGCGAAGGTGGTGGAGGATTTATAAAAGAAGATGAATTATTTATTTGATTGTACGAATCTTGAGGTGAAGGTACAAATGAAATAAAAGGCTCAATTGCATTGGTTGAACGTCTTTTTGTTAGAGTAGGTAAACGTGGTGAAAGATTATTTGATAAATTTTGAGATGGAGGTGTGACTGAAATTAAAGGATCAATATCATTGAATGAACGTCTTTTTATTAGAGTTGGTGAACGTGATGTGGGTGACTTTGGAGACGGTGGTTTAACTGAAAATAAAGGATCAACATCATTAATCGAACGTCTTTTTGTTGACGTTGGAGTTGGTGAACGTAAAGAGAGACTACCGGTATTATGAGAAGAACGTTTTTGTTGGAAATTATGATGTGGTGGTGCAGTTAAAAGTGATGAATAATTACTATTAAAATTATTGGTAGATGAAGTCTTTGAAGAGTATCCACTGTCATATGATGATGAATATGTGGAGGAACGTTTTGGACTAGGACGCGGAGAAATTGATAATAAATTATCATAGCTTTTACTAGCCTTAATAGTATTATTATTTTGAAGTAGAGTTGTTGGTTTGGATTTAGGTTGATAAATAGGTTTATCTGGTGTCAATGTTAAATATACTGAAGAATGCTTACTACTACCAGAACTGCTACGGGATGATGATTTATAATTTCTTCCTCCTTTTTGTTTTTCAGCTTCTTTTCTACAAATCATTCCGCAATAATCAACTTTCCTACCATTTGAAAGGATTAACCTCGGTAACATCCCACAGTGACGACATTTTTCTCTATCAATTAAACCAAGTACATATGCTTCTTTTCTACAATATTCTGAACAAAATCTACTTCTTGGTTCAAATGTTAGTTTATCTACATCCACGGGAGTAACTTTACACACATAGCAAAACGCAAAATGCTCCATCTCAAACTAATGTCACTACTATGACCAACTGCTTAAGCTAGCTAGTTTACCCATAGATCCATTCTCTGCATAGCTTAGGTCCTCTTAGGATGCATATGCCTAACGTATCGTGAGCTGCAGAGCTCCAGTTAACTTCAGAAGTAATTCATACTAGAGTAGTCATGTGCTCATTTCACAGATTCACCTGGATTAGACCCTTGTCAATATTTGTACAAATCTAGTTTCTGCTGTAGCCATCCATCAGATATAGTCTTTCAAGTTCTAGCTAGATATTTCATGAAATAGATCCTCCCAATCTAGTTAGCCACCAAGCCAAGTTAGTGTTGCTGCTAATGTAAGACACCAGGCTGTATTATACAGCAGACTTACTCACATCTATTGATCTCATATTTTTTGTACTCAGGTTTTTCACTGGATCAGGCATTAACTAACTTGACTATTAAATCTGTACTATTTCACCAAACTCAGAATTTCTACTATGCAGGTCCCCTGTCTGTAAATCTTATCAAGATTTATTTGCATAACATAACTTGAGTATTGTATCATATTTCCAATATCTGATTGATATTAGTATAACGTAATTTACAGAGTTGTAACCTTCAGAAATGAGCAGAGTTTACTGTAAATTGGGTACAAAGGTCTGAGTAATTATTCAAATTTGTCGATAGTAGGATTTGAACCTCAGACCTCTTGCATAGCAGTCTGGCAACCTAACTACTACACTAAGATCACCAGACCTTAACTTCTATATTCTTTTTTTTATTATCTTTAACTTCTATATTTGTTTTTTTATTTTCTCAACTTCTATATTTGTTTTCTTATTATTTTTAACTTCTATATTTGTTTTCTTTATTATTCTTAACTTCTATATTATTATTCTCAACTTCTATATTATTATCCTCAATGTCTATATCATATATATATATTTTTTAACTTTTAAATTCATATCTTGTTATCTTCAACTTCTATATTTTTTAATCTTCTTATCTGACTATTCAGTATATGTTTTATTTTATATTCTTTAATTATAATTATTTGTTTTTTCTAATTCTCTAATACCTTTTTTATATTATAAATTTACTTTTTAATATCTAATTTTTTTTCTTAATTAGCTAATTTTTTTTTAAAATTCAGCAATTATGCTAAAACTTTATTTAGATTTGTTTTTATATAAAAACAATATTATTTAATTATATACTTCCTAATACCTAATTTTTTAAATTCTAACTCACTCAGTTATTTTATAGATACCTATATATAATCAGAAGTTGATTAAAATTCTAACAAACAGAATCTCAACAAAATCAAAATCCTAACAGATTAGCTTATATTAGAGTTAGAATTAGCATAGTGTTAGTCAATTTTGTCAGGATTTTTGTTTGTTAGAATTCTGTTCATCAGAATTTTGATCTAAACCTGTATGATCTGCTATAGTAATCTTTGTTCTATATTACTATAATTTATATTTCATAAGCTATAGATTAATATAGAAAAGATATCATAGCTCATTTGATCAGCTAATTTTTTTGTTAGATTGTTTAAGTAATAAGATACTAATAATATATTAATTTTTTCAGGTTCATAATCACCAAAATATTCAATTAATCTACTAAGAGATAAATTGCTAATTGCAAAACTATTTTAATGATAATCGTATTGGTACTAAGTAAATATTCAAATACTATAACTAAATAAATAATTAAACTAGTAATAATCAAATGTTTAATGATAAATTCAAATTTTCAAGAAAAAATAATAAAATTCTTGATAAAGGAAGATAAATTATTGATTTTTTTTTTAATAGATAAAAAAAAAACCATATTTCCGAAAAGTATAATAATAAAAAGATTTTTAATATATAAAAAAATATATATTAACAAGATTACAACATTTCTCCAATTCATCAAAACTTCACATTCTAATTTACAAAAACTTTTAATAGAATTTTCCAAACTACCAGTAATCATGACATACTAAAGAATAGTAAGATATAAATAACAATATTAACAAAATTAATAATGTTTTCTATTAAATTATAAAGCAACTATGACATATAAATATAGTTACTTCAAAAATACTTAGTATAGTATAATTTCCAAAAATTGAAGGTAATATAAATGATGAAAATATAATAAAATCATTGAATATTTTTATAAAAGAAAATATCTTTGTTTGCTTTCTCTAAACCCCAGAAATAAGCCACCAATTAATATTAGAAGTAATCCAGTTAAAGTTGTATTAATCGCATCATTAGTTGGATCATATATTGTATTTTAGATAACATATCAGCGGATTTGCAGAATTGGTCCTGAATTAATCCTAAATTGTATCCTCAAAGTTATCCGCAAACAAATATACTTACATAAAGATAATTTAAGGAGTAAATAGATACAATAACACGTAATATAAATTTTATACAACGTGTTATTGTATCTATTTACTCCTTAAATTATCTTTTCAATTCAAGACCAATTCCGCAAATCCGCTGATATGCAAAAGTTTCTTTTTAAAAAAAACAGGACCAAAAGAAAATTTTTTAAAATTTAAAAATAAAAATAATCTAGTTTTTTTTATTTATACTAAATTAGAATTACACTAAAAACGCCCATTAAAAATTAAATCGTAGGGCAATTCTTCCAAGTTAAAATGACTTGTTATGTGATAGAATTATCACAAATTTAAGAATGCAAATTTTGGCTATGGCAAATACCCGTACGTATTGTATATGACTTTTCTAATATAGTAATGTATTTGGTTTAGATTTCTGAACAATTAAGTAGATACCTACAATTAAAGAAATCATAATATCAATTATCAAGTATCCTATGATGGGGCTTGTCAAATAAACTCGGTTATTTCTAAAGCGGAGTAGATTGATAAAATTATTATTATTAACTTAGGGTTAGGGTTAGGCCTGGGCAGGAATACAGTAAAATTACCTTCCCGACATTTTTTTTTATTAGTGCATCAAGACAGGTTTAGAAAGCCATTTTTTTTGCGTTTATTATTATTATTATTTTGCTTAGTCTGGCTGATCCAGGTCGTGATTTGATTGGTTAATTCGCGTAATTCATACTCTGCTTTAGACGACTCCGTTATTTGGCAAGCCCTATCCATAGTTGCTTGGCGAAACTATGTGATGCTAATCATCACACAGCCTCATGTTAATAATATTAATGCTATGAACATGTGAATTCACATGTTACTATTCATGACTGTGTGATGAGTAGCATAGTCAAGAAACTATGGCCCTATCATAGTAGGAGGATACCAGATAAGTTTAAAATAACAAATTATAGTATTAATCTTTGAGATATCTAGTTCTCAATTTGACAAATAATAGTTACTTATTAATAATATACTTTATCCAATTATAACATAAATCAGAATTTTAATAAATTGTACATTTAATTACAACACCTCATTATGATAGTTTACTTGATTTTCAAACTTGACAATTTTTTGAATATACTAATCTGATAATAAAGAATGCTGCGGAGGTTTAATGTTACAAGCTTTAAGTGCGGCCAATAGTCGATATTCTGCTTTTCGTACCTACAAAAATAGCAAAAGCTTTTAGATATAAGAATTTAATCTATTTTATTAAATAATAAAAATATATATGCATACAATACTAGCAATCTTATTATCACCTTCTTCCGTAATTATTCGTTTTGTAAATATTGTAACCATTCCATTTAAGTTGCCTAACACGACGTCAGTCAGTAAACGGTCCCCAATTACCACTATTTTTTCGGGAGGATAACGTGCAAAGTGAGAAATAAGTTCGGGTCCTCCATTTGGTTTCTAAATTATTTTTGGAATCAATTTTTTTTTTTTTGTTGCATTATGAATAAGTTTAAAATATTAAAAAGAAAAACCTTTGATTTATGTCTCAATACTGGTACACCTAAAGTATTTTCTATTTTTTTGGCCTATAATAGATAAATGTTATAATTATAAAATACATATATAAATAACGATAAATATACCTGTTTAAAGTCTGAATCATCTGCTGTTCCGGCAGAATTTGATATAATAATCATGTTTTCATTTCCAAAATGTTTTTTGCATTCTTGCCATGCATTCTTTTTTTTTTTAAAAAAAAAAAACCAGAATTATAACAGATAATATAATATTTTTACAAAAACCAAAATAGCTATTATAAAAAGACAACCTTAAATGGTGGATATATTTCATCTGCATATGGAATTGTAAGGGTATTATCTTTGTCAAATGCAAGTGCTTTAATACCTTTCCCCTTTAATTGTTCGAATTTTATGTCACGAATATCTTAAATACAATAATTAATGAAAATTTATAGTTTTCTTAATTTAAAATCCTATTAGTATATAAATACCATCAACTATAATATGTGGAACAGCCAGTTGTGGATTTCTTAATACATTAAAGATACCAAAAATCCCACTAAAATTTAAGCTTTGAACCATTTTGACAGATACAATATTTTCACATCATGCATCATTCAAAATCGTCAAACACGTGTACAAAGCAAATTAACCAATCGTATCGGTTTAGTTTGCGGTCACATAAAATCGCCTTCCTCTTTTAGGTAAAGATAATATTTTTGTGACTTTTTAAAAATTTGAAAATTTTTAATTTTTTTAATAAATAATATTTGTAAACTTTGTAAGAACCGAAAATTAACTTGCATGTTTTCTTAACAGTTAAGTTGAAATGATTGTTTATATTCAGAATATCTGTGATTAATTAAAGTTTTTATATTTGAAAGCTACAATTCGTAGGACAACTTTATCCAAGAATTACAGCGAATTTACTTACCGTTACTACTTTTTTTTATCCAAGCATCAGTATTGTACGTTTTGGCTGTCAATAGTTTTAAATATTTTAGTAATCGAAATAGAAATTATATGATTGTATTCTAAATATTTTTGCTTAAAATGGTTAAATAGGTTGTTTTAATAAAATTTTGAGTAAATACATGTCCAAAACCATGTTCAAAGGTTGTTCCAACGAAAACACTGCCAAGAATTAAGGGCTTTAAAAATCAATGTGCACGTCACTCTTGATATAACGTAGTACCTCGGGCATATAATGAGGAATTTTTTAAAATCGCTTTATTGTGAGTTTTATTAATAAATCCATTATACTGTATCAAGTAGTATTTATTATTATGTGAATTTGAATCTTGATCCATTATATCAAGATTTTACTTAGTCTCCGTTGTATCAAGAGTCCATTATATTGAGAGTGACGTGTATTCGAATAACCGATTTTAATAGTCGAATTCTTCATTTCTGCCCTAGACTTTTTTTGAAGGGTTATTTTCGTCAATTACAGGCAATCTGAAAACCTGAGGTTTTTTTATATGAACATGATAACCCTGATAGAAATTTAAAATTATTGATGAAAAAGATAATTCTGAAGTCTTGATGAATGGTCAACAACATCCTTTTACTGTAGTAATGTAGATAGTAAGTGGTGTAGCAAAAATTGGATTGCTCAGAACTCGATAAAAGATGGAAATTGTTTTTGAAGAAACAAAAAACAATAATATAGTGCATTTATTTGAATAGAAAGAATATTACAATGCTATTCTCAATTTGCATGTAAGACATTAAAGTCATTTAAATATATCAAAAGTTTGTATGTGTTATATTAATTTGACAATAAATTGATTATAATTCATTTTTTATATGTAGATTCTAGTAGGTAAAAAAAAATTTCTTTTAATTACTATAAAATTTTCTTAAATTATTCTATAATAAAATAATATAAAAAAATGAATAAATAGTAATAATGAACTTAAAGATTATTCTAAATTTAAATACAAAGTTTAATAATAGAAATAATCAATAAAATTACTTCATATACAGTAAGATTTATTATGTTTTACTGTATTTAAATCTTACTTTTCACTTAATGAGTATCAATATTATTTTATAAGAATTAAATTCTAAGATATAAACTTAAGATGACTAAGCATTAGTTATTTAACATTCTTACAGATAATTATACTAATTTACATATATCACCAGCTGGTACACTAACTTTTCTTCTAAACCAGAATTAACACATTAATAGTAGAATTTTATAACAAAATTTATTAGAGTACATCTACACATAACAAGAATTAACTGTATTTACATAGCATTTGACAAGAGGTTACATAAATAAAAATAAACATGAATTTTTTTTAATTATAATTCAGTATTAAAAATTTGACCTTTATTTAAAGTCTAATGTCGTAAAATGTAAATCGATTACATTACAAATATTATTAATTTGTCTTTATCTAGATCCAATCGTAATTATAAATTAAAAAAAAAGGATCTTTTTATATAAAAATTATTAAGGGAAAGAAAAATTTGAAAGAAATTTGACAAATTAAAAAAAAAAAATTACTCCTTATCGTTATATAAAATATAAATTCATATTAAATAAAATAACTTTGTTTTTTTTTTTTTTTTTTTTTCTCACTAAAATTATTAATCACTCTAATCACCAATACATCCTTAATTGGATGTATACACAATATCAGATATGTAAAGAAATTTAAAATTTTCGACTTTGATCTTTAACCAGTCGTTTAATTGAACCATTATCCATGCATCTCAGTATCCGATGTGATAATTCAAAACATCAGACTTTCTTTGTAGAATAATTATTATAATTAGTATGATTTGTACTATAAGACGGTGGGATCAAACTAATTAATGGAACTGAATGTCCATTCATTGGAGGAACATGAGAACTACGTCTAGATCTACGAGAATGCGAAGGTGGTGGAGGATTTATAAAAGAAGATGAATTATTTATTTGATTGTACGAATCTTGAGGTGAAGGTACAAATGAAATAAAAGGCTCAATTGCATTGGTTGAACGTCTTTTTGTTAGAGTAGGTAAACGTGGTGAAAGATTATTTGATAAATTTTGAGATGGAGGTGTGACTGAAATTAAAGGATCAATATCATTGAATGAACGTCTTTTTATTAGAGTTGGTGAACGTGATGTGGGTGACTTTGGAGACGGTGGTTTAACTGAAAATAAAGGATCAACATCATTAATCGAACGTCTTTTTGTTGACGTTGGAGTTGGTGAACGTAAAGAGAGACTACCGGTATTATGAGAAGAACGTTTTTGTTGGAAATTATGATGTGGTGGTGCAGTTAAAAGTGATGAATAATTACTATTAAAATTATTGGTAGATGAAGTCTTTGAAGAGTATCCACTGTCATATGATGATGAATATGTGGAGGAACGTTTTGGACTAGGACGCGGAGAAATTGATAATAAATTATCATAGCTTTTACTAGCCTTAATAGTATTATTATTTTGAAGTAGAGTTGTTGGTTTGGATTTAGGTTGATAAATAGGTTTATCTGGTGTCAATGTTAAATATACTGAAGAATGCTTACTACTACCAGAACTGCTACGGGATGATGATTTATAATTTCTTCCTCCTTTTTGTTTTTCAGCTTCTTTTCTACAAATCATTCCGCAATAATCAACTTTCCTACCATTTGAAAGGATTAACCTCGGTAACATCCCACAGTGACGACATTTTTCTCTATCAATTAAACCAAGTACATATGCTTCTTTTCTACAATATTCTGAACAAAATCTACTTCTTGGTTCAAATGTTAGTTTATCTACATCCACGGGAGTAACTTTACACACATAGCAAAACGCAAAATGCTCCATCTCGTTTTTTGCGTATTATATACGTGTAAATAAATGAATGAATAAGTATGATGACATATGCAAGATCGGATAAGTAGTCTCTTTAGGTTGAAAAAAAAAAAAAAATTAAGAAGCGTATCGAATAAACTTGCTATATAAAAAGTATGACGGTTATGAATATTGCTGGGTCCCATGCTTACACGACAATTATTAGTGCTATATAAGGGTATGCAAAACATGTAAAATTTATTTTTTTTGTTTGTTATGCATAATACTATCCAAATAATGACCTATCAAATTCATAATAGAAACTTATAACCACAAAATTTTAAAATACCTCCTTTCACATGCGCATATGTAATAAATAGTAGCATCGTTTGAAATGCAGAACATACACCAATAAATATCGTATTTATATAAAGTTAAATGCATACGGCATCAGTTGTTGACAAAGCTAAAAAGTTTTATAGGTTAAATATTATTTCTTTAAGTTTCTATTTATAATCTAATAATGTAAACTCCAAACAAGGCTAGAGAATATCAGTTAAAATTTAAAATTATTAATTAACAATAATGTAAATTCAAATTTTTTTTTAGTTTCAATATTTTAATAATGATAATTTTGTAGTTGATACTCAAAATGGGGGTATACAGTATAACGATAATAGATTAAGAAATTAATATATAAATAAAAAATAAACAAAAAATTAATCGTATATATAATAAATTTAAACCATTATTATTATTAACAGTTTTGAACAATTAATTTTAACATCCGCTGAGTTTACCAGCTTGGTATGCCAGTAACATGGAAGCAAACATTACCCCAATTTGTTTGTAATCAAATCTGATTTGTTCTGAAAAAACTATTAAATCACTCTTTTGTTTATATATTTTAGAGTGTATTACAACATTATCACTGTTCTTACTAAGATTAATACTATTATTAATCTTGATCGGATCAATACTTCTGTTAATCATGGTCGGATCAATACTTCTGGAAAATACTTTCGTGGAGATGTCAGAATCTGATTGTATGTTAACCTGTTTTAAGAAATGAGAAATTTTTTGAGCACACATATATATATGTAGCTTGTCAAATAACGAAAAAAATATCATGTATTATTTACTTCGCTCGTTTGTTCATCTTGATCGATTTCGTGTACTACTTCTGGTTGTACTACTTCTGATTGTACTACTTCTGGTTGTACTACTTCTGGTTGTATTACTTCTGGTTGTACTACTTCTGGTTGAACTACTTCTGGTTGTAATACTTCTGGTTGTACATTTGTTTGCTGATCTTGACCTTTATGGGTTTGAAGAATGAAACTTAAGTTTTATTGGAATAATAAATGTGATATATAAAATATCGTTTTTGATTACCTTCAGTTTGTATTCGTGTGATAGGTTCATTATCTATATTTTCTTTCTTATGTTTCTTATCTGATATATCTTTTCCATTATATGTAAATTTAATAGAATTAGATGTATTTTTAATTATTTTTACATGTAATTGTTTTTCATTAATGCCAGCCGTAACGGTGATACGGATAATACTATCAATTGGTAGCAATTCAACCTTAACATCTATCGGTTGAATAGTAATATTAAAGCCATTAGGATACATCTTATCGGATGTTCGAATTTCCGTGATTCCCTCTCCTTCACTATTATTTGATAATATTAAACTATATTGGAAGTCATCTGGATTAAATTCATCTAGTATTATTGCTCTGGTTGTATATTTAACATAAGGTGGAAATCCAATTTTTTTCGA